TGGGGTTAAGGCGCATTTTTTTGAGGGGTCACAAGAAGCTGCATACACTTATTGAGGGCACCATCTGGAAACTAAGTTAAGACAGGGTTGGACAATTTTTAAAAATTATTTAAAATTTAAAATATTAAAATTGTTTCAAAATTTTATCAAAACTTTAATTTTTTGTAAAGTTTATTAAATTTTGAAATTTTCTCAATCAAAAAATTTTCACAATAGAGTGTCTCTTATTGTCTGGACTAGATGAACATACCTTCAATTTTGATTGGAGGGGTGGTGTTCGGAGAAATTCAATAATGACTGAAAGAAAATAAAATGGCTGCTGAAAATCTAAACTAGTTGTGAAATGGCAGTCTAAGAACAAATGAAGGTGTGACATTTTTATAAGGAATCAATTTTATTTTTTTTTTAGAATTTTCTCAATATTTAAAATTTCCCAATTCAATTTAAATTCCCTAAGGTTCAATAAATTAAAAAATATTTCTATTTTTATTGAGCAACTTAATGTCTTTAAAAAGGTCTCATAAAATTCAAAACTCTACCTGCTGTCCTGTTAAGTGTAGCTTCAACTAGATCTTATCATGGACATCCAGACATAACATTGCCACTTATCCATTAATAAAAATATTCCTGCAAAGAAAAAAAATGATGAAAAAAAAATGTTTATTTTTTGGTGAGCTCAAAATGATGAGGGCAAGTAAAGCTAGAGTATTATCATAGTGCAGAGGAAAAGGACGAACGAAGATAGATGTGTAAATACAGATAAGACGGAAATATATTTATTTTTTACAAAACCCCATCTATAGAAATGGAAGCAGCAGCAAATATCCCCATTATAAAAATAGTTTTAGCTTACATAGTTCCGCATATTGTATGTTTATTCCCTGATTAGAAGGAAAGAAGAAGGAGGAAGGGAAAAATCTAACTTCCTTTATTTAGTCAGTCAGCAATGCTTTGTGAATCTAAAATTTTTGTACAGTACAATAGAGCTTCATACAATTGATTATGATTAAAGATTAAAAGGTTCATTAAGTTCTATAATAATTAAGCATTTAATTCCATCATCATTACTTCCTTTATTGTCATCCATGTCATTGTGTATTGAGGATATTAAAAGATAATTGGTAGAACATTTAATGGAACCACGAGTAGAATTTAAGACTTGACTTTTTCCTCATTTCTAATAAATTAATCAACAAGAAGCTCAAATTGAATATTGATTATGCATTCGGTTGGGATCATTAGATGGTTGTGGCATGTTTTGAAGGCACTAATGGATCGTTTGTCTAAAAATATAGAAATATTGAAATTAATATGAAAGAATAGCTATTGAAAAATGTTTGTAAGAACTTACTTGAAGTTGAATTGAATTGTAGAATTTTTAAGCAAATCAGCCTTGATGTTCTAATTCCAAGGATGCATCCCGATGAGTTATGAGTTGTATAATTTGTCGTGTACAAGCAACAGTTTCAAACCTAGTCGTTTGTTGAAGATTTGACACACAAGTCCCAAGTCATTCAACATTTCTTCAAAACTCAACCTCATGACCCGAAATTTCTCATTGCATGCTCATGATTCATATTCCTTCATGCCTCCACAGTCCCCATTAACTCTAATATTCCCTCAAAAATTCCAATTTTATTTATTCAATGAATTCCAAAAACTCGACCAAATCACTCATGCAACCACAACAATTTTCACATCCAATTACCTCAGTCACAACTCACCAAGCCTAACTGCTTGTTTTGACCAGCATTTAGCAAGTAAATGACTGTCTATATTACTTTTTTGTTTTTCAGGTAATTTCCATGGAATTCACACTGTTGTCATTATTAGCACCATGTTGTTTTGTATAGCCATGAGAAGTGTGCATAAGAATGAGCAATTATTGCTTGACGTCAATCTTAAGTCTGAGAAATTCTAAAGCTCGATGATGTCTAGAGATAATTTTTAAACAAACATATTGTTCAGCTTCAGTCGTCATTTTAGAATTTTAAATCAAATTTGTCAGCACATCCTCCATTGCAGTCTCAGATTTATATCAATGCATGCTTAGCGTCTAAAAATACAGAACAATGAACTTTGAATTATTATTATTATTAAAGATAATTGAATTATAAGGAGGATTCAGACTATGGCACATCCATTTCTATTTGAATAAAAATATGATTAGATTTGAATAGAAAATTCTAGACAGACATGCAATGTGGTGCTTATTTTGAACGAGCAATTGTTATAACTAATCGACTGTGAATTGAAAATATTTTTGGGAATATAAATTGCTGTATTTTTTGGATTATTTAATTTTAAGTGTGCATAGACTATGCTTTATGCTTGATATATTTTAATTTATATGAATTATTAGGAATAAACAGGATTGAATTAACAACATTGTCAATAATATAAATATGTAGAAAGCAAGTTGAAATGTTATGTTGTGGATGGAATTGGAATTTAATATTTTGACTTTAGATTCTTCTATATTTTGGGTATATTGAGCAGCGGAAGCTTTAATGATTATTAACAATCCATGTTATTATAAAGTTTTTGGGATCATGTATTAGGTTTATGAGGGAAAAGTCAAATAATTCAAGCTAAGCATTCAAATCAGGTCTACAGATATCATGCTGACTATAACAACATGATAGCATTTGTAGAATCTAATCTAAACAGTTACTGTTACTGACTTACTCGATCTCATTAAGTTTTGACTTGGATGGTCGATTAGTTCCTGCTGTGTCTATTAATGGAAAAGAAAAATAAAGCTGGACTTTGAAACTTCCTAGCTTGATAGAATTCAATGTATATCAGAATTTGTGCTTGAAGACCTATAGCTTAAGATCATTTATTAGCAGCTCTCGATAGTCTCTAAAACAGTCTAGACATCTCTTGGCTTATACTATATGTGATTTATTACATTTCAAAGGCTTAAATTTCATTAATTTACAATCTTCCTTAACACCAAAACCATTGTGATCAGGTATTTTAAAACCCATCAATCTACCAACCAGCATCACATTTCATTGCCTATAAAATGTCTTTTTGATTAATGGAACTAATATCGTCACTTTGTTGCTTTATCTTCTTGCATTGTAAATGTTTTACAGCTGCCATAAAACTTTTAATGGATCCTCAATCCTTCATTTTTGATGATATTTAAATTTATAGCCTTTCATTGAATCCATGCCCAATTTCCATTATTGATTATGTTTATGGCTAGATTTATGAATGCCACACAAGTTTCTTTATCACCAAAATCAATCAGAATTGGGCAGTTTTGAATGACTTGAAATTAACATTTTGGGTATTAAGGATTTATTGATTAATTTTAACACTTCTAATCGCTTAATTGCTACTTTTAAATTGATTTTAATGAGATAATAAAATTAAAGTTTTGCAAGATAAAGTGTGAGGGGTTGTTCTTAAATGATGGTCATTATTAAATCAATTTTTATAAAATCAATTTTGAAAAGATTAAGTATAAATTGAGACATTTTGAGATTCTTCGATTGAGGTACCTGAAGCCAAACCCCAAACTAACCCAATTGCTGTTCTGCCATATAAAAAAACTCAACTTTATGACGACACTCTCTCTTAAAAGACCCCCAAAAAATTAAAATATTCAAATAAAATTTTTATAATTCATCATAAAATTCTATTTATCAGCAAAACTGCTTTTATGACTAATTTTAAAACAATATAAAATTCGTCTCACAAAGATGCTGTATAAGGAGCATCAAGACTAGTTAAATATGATAATAATGATCATCAAATATTTAACATAATGTGTGCAAGATAATCAAATACTAATAAAATTATCGTAAACGAATTAAGCTATAAAAACTAAATTTAACACTCTAGAGGAGCATTGTTGTTGCTGGTGCCTCCTCCTGTCCCCAAAAAAATATATTTTATGGCCATTTTTTTTCTACCACCAAGACAGACTTAGCCATAAATCATCTTTATGGCATTATTTTCTGTGTTATTATTATGAAAACATTTGTTGCATTTAATAATGACAACAGTAATAATAATAATAATAATAATGACTATTTTATTTACTATTGAGTGGCGCTTTGATTGTTTTAATAACGCGGAAAAGAAGGCAAAAAAAAAAAAATCGACAAGAGTCTTAAAACACTGTCATAAAACTGCTTTGAATTGCTCTATAAAAATTGTATTACAAATTTATTGTGTCTCTCATTCATGCTTTATTTTTAATGTGTGCGACTTGACTGACTATTGAAACATAAAGTCACGAAATTGCTTTTTTTTTATTTTTATGGCATTTCTCTTGTGATTGACCTTGGTATCAATTTTTATGATTTCTTGTTGTTTTTCTTTCGAGTTTATGTTCTTTACGGCTTTTATGAATGAAAAATGTTTTCTTCTTGAATCCTGGCTGGATTTAATGTGATTTATTGAGGGAAAATGTGGGTCAAGTTTAGCTGCTGATGCAGTGGATTTATTGTTTTTATGGTGAGATGATTAGAGAGTTTTTGAGAATGTGTTGATTTTTGGAGATTTGTGTGTACCTTTTGTGAGATTCAGGATGTCGGTTTTTTAATTTTAAGTTTACTTTGGAATATTTCCGAAAATCTTGATCAGTGTCATTTTATCAGTAGATGCATAATTGATGTCAATTATCCATGATGTATAATTGAGTTGATAATGCTTTAAGTCTGACATATTAATACTGTCCCGAAAAGCATGAAAGTGAAAATTGCTGTCAATCTAACGTCTAGGAAGGCATGAACACGGATTTCACCAAATTTATAGCAATTTTACACCGTGAACCTTTCGGGAGTTCTCACTCCTTAGATTGTTTATAGGGTTCAATCTCGTTGTGCTCAAAAACATACCCAAGTCGTACTCTAGATGCACCTTATAAACTAGTTCTGTACCCAGTGAATTGAAATTTTCAATCTTATCTCAATTATCTTCACTAAAGCAATTCATCCTTTTATTTTCAATTGGTTTAGGGCAACGATTGTTTAAGCACGATGCTTGATTGTTCCTTCATTCATCCATTTGTACCTAAAATGAAAGAACATTTTTTAAAATTTTTGATTTTTGTTGGATTTATTTTAACCAGTTTCAAACAAAACATTGGTCTCAAATACAGCAAAAGGAGTGAAGCACTGAATCCAGTGTGTAGACTATTCAGCATCTCAATCAATTTTTACAATTTATCATCAGCAATGCTTCAAATTTCATCAAATGTCCCTTCTTTATTTATTTACCAATCCACAAAGTCCAACTCATTCATTTCATTCACAGAAAATAATAATTTTCACTCCAAGCCCTTCAAAAAAAAAAAAATAAAATTCTGTGGCTGTGCTGTTATTGTAGAATTACTTCCGACATTAAAAAAATATATATCCTTGCCACATCACGTCAGCAAATATTTCCTCAACAATTTTTTTTATGATTTGAAGCAGCAAGAAAATTTTGTGGGCTTGACACTTTACACATGAACATGCTCATACATAACATCAAACTCTTCTTAATTGTTACCAGTTAGTTTGTATATTAAGTTTATGAATAACTAAGCATGAATAAATTTTTTTGCTGTATGGATTACGAGTTGAATAAATTGCGTGTGTGAATATTTTTTTTTACGTTTGATAAGTTTGGCAGGCACGTTTACATTGTGTGTATTGACATGAATTTTTTTGGTAGGTACATTAAGAGTTGTGCATGTAAAATTATTTATGTATGTATGTACATTCATTCATTAGGTAAATTTTTGTTGAATTGAATGAAATTATACGGATGTGAGGAGAAATGGCATTTATTATTCAGATTTTATAGGGTTGGGAGGCATTTGTAAATGACGTGTAGGATTGATGAAAAGTTGAGAAGTGGAATAAGAAGGGTTTATGAGGACAAAGGTGAAATCAAGCGGCTAAGGACTCTCTAAATTGGATTTTGTCAATTGTATTTTGATACTTCATTTAATAGCAATCTAAGCCTTTTTAGCAGAGTCTTAGTCAGCGAAACAAGAGATGAGTAAGCATTTAAAGCTGTTGCCTTGCTCCCACCTCTTTGTTTGCTCCTAAAAGTACGGCAAAATACCTTAACGTTGGAGGTAGGGGGTCTTAAATCTAACACCTTAATTGGATTTGACATCATTGATAAACAACCCCTGGAAAAATACAAACAAAATTATGCACTCTGGAGTAATTAACTCTTACACTATAATCTTCAACATATTCATGATTTCATGTCTACTATCAATTGCCACTTATAGCAAATTATATATTTTTCTTTTGTACTTTACATTACAGATTAAGTTCATTTCTCATTTGTATGATTGGAGATTAGGGATCATTTGAGATTATGTGAATGAATTATTTATAATTTTTTTAATTCTCAAAGTAATTTTAATTTGATTTATGATTGAAAAAGTGTCAAGATTAATGGCAAGATAGAAACAAGGAATAAAATTTTAATGCTCAAATAAAACAGCGATTACAAGCCATTAAATTTTTTATAACGAATCATGGGAAGTGGGATTAGAGGTGGCAGCCATTTGTGACTTTTTGAGTGCTATTAAGGTTACAAAATGACTGTTTGAATTTGTGTATCCATGGTTGTGGATTTATCGAGCTTGGTAGACACAAAATTCTCAAAATTTGCTGGATTTTTAATTTTTTATCAAAATTTTGAATCAATTTTTAATCAATGTCTTAATTTTTATCATACCAGATATTTATGTGCTGCAATCGGTAGTTCGACTCAAAAACTGGACTCAAAATATGGCATTGAAAAATTATTTTCAATTTCAAATTAAGGTGAGTGAATTTTTTCTATTCAATAATTTAAAATTTTGTCAGCATTTAAGCCCCAAAAAAAAGTTATGAACATACTAAAATTTATGGCTGACGTTGCTAAGATTGACTTCCTTAAATAACAACATTTCAATAAAATAAGTTGATTATTTTGTCAACGTCAATATTTTACTGCCGTCATGCCCCGATAGACACCAATAAGCCACGAGCGACACCGACATCCACGAGTGCTTTCAAACCATAAAACAAAATATCTTTTATTTTCGATTCAATCGAATAATCACAATGCATAATTTCCTATCATTTTCATGCCTCAAGTAACTCCATTTGTAAATTAATGTCCAACAGCTGCTCGTTTATTTATTGCCCATTTTAATTGGACAAATGATTTTTGTATGTTTAATTTGTAATAAACATTGTTATAAAAATGAAGCTAATTTCGTGGGTCATTTTATGATAGATTTTTAACAACTTGACACTCACAGAAAATACAGCCAGATTATATGTTTAAGTCATTAAAATCTAAATAGCTTTTTTTTGTGTGCGACATAAAGTTCACTTTGAGTTAGTTATTATTGCTTTTAAATCGTTTTAGAGCAGCCATAAAAGTCGAAGAATTAAAGTAAGTGTGGGAAAATCAATAAAAATGATGACAATAAAAAAGAAACTTTTTATTCTTGTTTGTTTACTTGTATGTCTATGACTCTTGATCGTTATAGTTTAATTATCATATATCGCGTGTGAGGTTCATGCTAATTGATATATATTTCTATTTTATGACTTATTATGGATGTGCTACAATCAACTTGAGTTATTTTACAATAAAAAGTTTGCAGTGTTGATGATCTTGATGACTGGATCTACACCTGATCTTGGGTGTGTTTTTAGATCATGTTTTAATAAGATACAATCTAGTCTTGATCTTTTATAGAGCAGATAAGAATGTTTAGATATCAAAAGACAAGCAAAGAAGTTAATGACAATCAATGAGCTAAGACAATGACTAAGTGTAAAGAATCAAGGCAAGATCAAGAAAAAAATCATGTCTGGGGTTAATAATCTCCTCTCTGGGTCAAATTATGATTCAACCAGATAAATACATAGCTAGTTTTGCTTTGACTTTCGCAAATTATAAACTTGACAACGATTCAATGTTCAAAGTCTAAAAGGCAATCTTAATTCTAATTAAGGCAATAAAGAGAAACCTAATAAAGTTGTACCTTTTTAAGTCATATCTTAACATCCTATCTAATTCCGAAGACACCAACTCTGTCAAATCACAATTGATAATTAAGCATCGTCCATTCAAAGACAATTAGGCTGATTTCTTTAATGCCTTTTACGATTAACAGTGCAATAGTCTCTCATGCACGGTACTCCTGCTTCAGCTACCGCCGTCTATTCACTACACAGCTGTTGAATCGTTAACAGTCCATAAAAAAACCTCCCGAAACCGACGTCTGAATAATAAAAATGTTTTATTACCCAATTTTATTACAAGACAAGGAAAAATTGAAATGATATATGGCTGAAGCAACACACTCACTTTTTTATGTCCTCATCGTCGGTGTTTGATTATACGGCTAGACATCTTTTACTCTTTTCAATTCAAGTGTCATCATCATCGTCATTTATCTTCCTTCTTCCTTGCGTTTATGTGACATATCTCCTTCCACAACATTATTCATCTTTTGCTCAATTTGAAAGATTTATGAGATATGCTGCTACTGCTGCTTCTTTTATTGATTCCTTCCCCCTCCCTTCACATATTGTTATGCTCCTCGTGGAATTTCTTTTTTGTGGTCGCATTTTATGTTATTATAATTGATAATTGGGATGTAAAAAGTAATTTTTTTTGCACTTGCTATTTTACTTCTGGTTCTTTTTTTTAATGCAATTTGTGGCAATGAAAAATGTTACGATTATGAGGAGTTTTATGCATTTTTAATTAAAGTTACTTTTGCTTAATACAATGGCGTTTATGGGTCTTAAAGAGATGTGAGTAATAAAGGGAATAAGAGTGGAATGGAATTATTTTTTGGCAGTGCTGCTTTAAGTTTAAGACTGAATTTTTATGGGAATATAACAAGACGAATTTGAGTTTTAATAGTTGGATTTAATGAGGAGGTGAATTGTTTAAGAATGAAGGCTTTTGGAATGGAATTACAGTTGATTTGGTCAATACTTTTGGAATAATTGTAGAAATGACACTTAAAAATCATATGTAACCCATTGGTTAGAATCGATATGGAACCCAACTTTAAAGTCGTTCCTAATTTTTAAAGATTGTTTTTTTTTGAGGTGATAAACAATATAATAAAGCACATTAATTATGTTTGATGTCTATTTATGACACCTACTCTCAATAAATGACTCTTATAACTGCGCTCTTGATCTAATTTAATCTAAACTTCAATAAAATTCAAAAGTTTTAAACTTACAGAATGCCAACATACTAAAACCTAGCTCTTAATAACAACAATAAAGAGAAATTGTAGGCGTGTAGCTCGTAGGAGCAATCTTAAGTAGAAGATGTCATTATATTTTCACATAAAAATTTCTATTTCATTTAAATTTCATCTTAAAGGTGTCCATAATCGCATTAAGTTTTTAATAATCAATTTGAATTTTATTTAAAATTAATGAACACGAATGAGTCACTTTAAGTGATTTAAGTAATTTAAAATGAGATTATTGACAATGTATTTTAAGTGAAAGGAGCCATTCATTGGCTGACTCACAAGATTTTCCAAAATAAATTCAATTTTATCAAATTTCTTTGCACAATTATTTAAAAATTTTTTAGTAAATTTGTGAATTTTCTTTAATTTCAAAAAATTCTTAAGATTGAAATTTTGTTTGAAAAAATAAAATTCAGCAACATTAAAAATATTTAAAGCTACAAATTTAATAAAATCTTTAAAAACTAGTCAAACTCGAACTATTTCAAGATAAAACCACAAACATATGATTCAACAAACCATTCAAAAACCAATTTAAAAATCTTTCATCTAAACATTCCAATAAAATGTCACATTTGAGCATCCAAACTACTTAAAATATCCAATTAACAAAACTACATCGTCCATTTCCTATTGTTTGTTAATTAAATCGCATCATTTTTTCTCTCTTTATTATTCTAGTAATTGTACAATAACAATTATACTTAATTAAAGTATAATCTGAATAATCAAAACTAAACGTAAACGAGAGTAATTTGACTAGGAATTCCATATTTTTTCTTTAAAAATAACAAATGTAGGTCGTTAGCATTAACACAGAACGAGTTGTTTATACTAGTATTTGTGATTAAATTCTCTCTCACAGCGTATAGTTTGTAGTAAATGCCATTCATTCTAGTCAAATGCGTATCGTAAAATACGATATCTATGGCTGTCGTCCGACGTAAAACAGAGGAGACAAATCTCGTTGACATTTTTCTTAATTTCTGTGCCGTAAAAACGTTATGGACGGTCAAAACTTATTTGTTCTTTATTATGAGAATATTTTAGGAATTTTTTTGTGACGGGTTAGAAAATTTATCGAGTTGTTTGTAGTTTTTGATAGGCAGAGATGTAGTAATGGGGGTCAGTGGGGTATATAATGGATTTTATGGGTAGCGATAAACCAAAATAAACTATGAATGAGTTTAAAAGAGCCTGAATATGATACCGACGCTATTTCAGATTTGAAATCGACAGTCTTGACATTTACGCATGTCAATCCTAGCTTCACATGCCCACCCCTGCCTCTTGGTCACCAAATGTTGTTTTTGAACAAAAAATATATTTTTGAAAATAAATTACTCTACTTACTATGAATTATTCAAACCCATGACAAGTGAATGTTCAGAACAGCACTAAAAATGGTAGCCACATGACTATCTTGTCGTAATTTTTTCGTCATGAATTTTTTTATTATCAACAAAACAAGAAAAGACTGAAACCTTCACACTCAGTGAGACGACTGAGATATTTTATGAGGAAATTTCACTCGACAAAAACTACATCGATTATTGCAGAATGACATTGAACAACCCTTTGATGGACAGACTTCAGGAAGTGTTTTGCAGATGAGTTATTATGGCCTTGACGTTTATTGGTTTTTAAACCCTTTTAATTTTTTATGATTTTTTTTTGTTTTCTGATTTTTCTCTTTTGGTTTTCTTGTTTTTTTTTGGCAATTTCTTTCTTAACCCTTTCTCCTTATACTTTTATGGATGTTCCAGAGATGTCCTTAAAAGGAATTGAATGTTTATGGTTATGGAAGTTTTGAATTCTTTTTGGGAAATTTATTTTTTTTGTTATTGAAAATTTTACGGTTCATTGAGTTTTTCAGATGGAATTGTAGCTTTTTGTAAGCTATAGAATCAGACCCTCATCGAGTATCATGTGTTGTGAAATTTTAGAAAGACATTTTTAAATTGTTTTAAAAGATAAAAGAGAAATTTGATCGGGGTCATTGGATATTATTGAGAAGAAAATAATAAAAAAATGAAAGAATTTCTTTTGCGGGTTGATGAAATAAATAAGAAATTTTTGGGCTATTTAGTATTAATTCTGAGATGCTTTAGAGAATAAAATATTCTTTGTTTTCAAACAATTGAAATTCTTTTATTTTAATTTTGAGATTTGAAGTTTTAAGAAATTGGAAAAGTTTATTTGAAATTATAAAACGCATTTATAAGTTCTGAATTAATTTTTTGTAATCCATTGTAATTTCTTGAAAAACATCGAAAAAAAAATAATTAATTTTGGGTTTAAAATCATTTTAATATGAGTTTATGATCTGCATTTAAATTAAATTGAGTATTTTAAAGTATTTTAATGATCATTTTATTTAAAAATGTTGAATTAAGTGTTTAAAAGTTTTTTAATTTTAGTTCACAATTTTTTTAAGGATTCTTAATTTTAATAACTTCAATTTCAAACCAAAAAGCATTAAAATTTGTTACATTGTAAGTTTAATAATGATTCAAATTTTAAATTAATTCACAATTTATTTCGCACTTCTTATATTTGTTTAACACGAGAATTTGAGCAATAAATTTAAAATTCAATGTTCCATAAGATTCAAATTTACAAAATTTCTTGCATTGTTGCACACAAAAAACATTTTGCCAAAAAATTTATTAAATGTGAAATTTATTCAATTTGAAGAAATTTAAACTTTTTGTATTTTTAATTTTTAAATAAATTTTGATTTACTTTACCTCGATTTTCTGACAATCTTTACAAAAATTATAGCTAAACCCCCGTTGCTTTAAGTTTTAATCTTAAAAAATCATAATTTTGTTTTGCAAGAATTTCAATAAGTTTAACATTTTAGTATTCAAATTAATTTTTTCTCAAAAAATTCCTTTTAAAAAGTCCCATAAAATGCAAGATTCCCCCAAGAAAGCCTCAATAATTTCAATGATTTTATTTGACAAATACCCCAAGTAATAAAATCAACTACAAAATGTAATCCTGAAACCTTTTAAAAGAAGAAAAAAAAATCAGCTAATTGCAAAATGACCTCGCTCCAATCAGTGTCGCGTAAATTTCAAAAAAAATTATTCCATAATCATCTCAAATGAGACAATTCGAATGGACTTTTTAATGATTTTAAATGTGACAAATAAGATGAGTTTTTTCAATTTAATCTAAATTGAAATTTTCTTAACTTTTTTTTGCTGTTTGTTTCTCGTTTGCCGTTCACTTAAATATGGAATTATGATAAAAACACTTTGCGTGGACTTTTTTTTTTGTTGTGCCGATAAATGAACTTGTTTGAGAAATTCTTTCGTTATCTCTTAAGTGTTGTGAGTTTTTTGGTTAAAAAAAAAATGGTGAGTGTCAACTTATTTTACGAGTCATGAAGAGCCACAAAGAGTTTTTGCGTGTCAAAAATTAATTTTTAAAGTTGAGTGAGTTTGGGAATTAACAAGGAAACTCAATTATTTCGGAAAGTTTTGAGATTTCTTTTTTTCTTTGGAGTTTTGTCAGTGTTTAATGAAAATTTGTGACAGATAATTAAAGATAAGGTAAATTGAGGGAAGTTAAGTTTCGTAAGGTGTGATTTTTAATATTTTTGGTAGAAATCTTTTAATTATTGTTTTTATAAAAATGTCTTTTAGTTCAAATTTTTGGGTAAAAACCTTTTAAAATCAACTTAAAATGTTCGAAAGTTTGATTTAGAAAATTCATTAATATGATTCAATGTTTTTCACTGTTTTAGCATAGTTTAAGCTGGTATAAAGCTATGAATTGACTGAATTTGATTTGAAATGCCCGATCTTAGCTAGCTTGACAACTTGCTAAACTTCTAAAGACTTCAAGCTATGTTCTAGCTACAATTTTTAATTTGAAAACCACACTAGCGAATTTATGAAACACAAATAGTGAAATACTGAATAAATTCAACTAGACAATCGCTAAGAATTGAACCTAGCTCATTAGCATAGGAAGCCATTACTCTAACCTCGACTCTACTGCTTATTCTTTATTGCTCTTTAGTTTTTGATCAATAATTCAACCAGATCACGTCGGAACAATCCACACATGACAAAATGTCACATTTATTCCCGAAAATTATACAAAATTCTCCATTAATTCTTGTCAAATATCCCGCAAATAATTTCCCAAAAAAAATTCTAATCATGAAAATTTCATAATAAACTTTCCTATCCATCTCCCCCATAGAAAAACAAGTAAAATAAGAATAATAAGATTCTTATAGTTCTTATCTTAGATAACATGCGTTAAAGTTTTTTTTCCTTCGTTTCTCCCTTATGACTTATTTTTTTTTGCATGAATGATAAGGAAACGCCCTTTTTGTTTGCTTTCTTTTCGGCTTTAATAACAATAATAAGAAAGTAAAGTAAAGATTGTATATTTAATATTTACCTCCATCCAATGTTCTGCATGTTGAAGTCTCTGTTCTTTGTATATATTCACATCCATCTGCGTCTTCATGCCTTGAATTTTTATTTTATTTAAAGAAAGGAAATAAAAAAAAAATTGTCAATTGAAAATTATTGTATGGATATAAAATATGGAAATTTACCTTCCAGAAATCGATATGACATTAATATTATTGTCATTATTGAGTACGAGCAATAATAAATAAATAAATCTAACTACAGCAATATGGAAAATATCAAGCATTGATTTCATTGACAAACCTTTATTTTTTTTTGTATACAGCAATTTGCTTGCTGTTAAATGAGCAAGCACAAAAAAATTGCTGCCTCTGCTCTCTGCGATTCCGATTATTTTTTTTTGTTGTTGTCCCCATAAATGCCTCTCGACGACCATAAATGTCTATCATGTAACTTTATTGAGTCTTTTTTTGCGGATGAGGATGATTTTGTTCCTCAAAAAAGAAAAACTAGATTTTTTCGATGCATAATTAATTGATATTCGACAGTGGATGTCACAGAGTAATTTTATAGTTAAATATGTATAAGACCTTATCTGGGGATAGATATGGAAACGAAAAAAAATAAATATATTGCTGAATAAATTAAGCACGACAGAGAAATTCTTGCGTATAAAAAAAGTATACACAACAAGCACGTCCATTTCGTGTTATATCTTGAGATAATGCCTTCTGTCGTACAACCAGTTTAGTGACATTCCACGCATGTCAATTTTGAATATAATTTAGACCGTCGCACATTCACAATAGCGCTCTCCCCTCTTCCTACGACTTCAAGTCTCGCTCTGTGACGATGTAGGTAGTTTTTCCTATTTGTTACTAGCAATAAGCTTTTATTATCTAAAATATTTTAACATTATGTAAGTAAAATGCTGTAAAATAAACTGAAATACACGAAATTTCTCGTGTCTTTACATAAGCTATAAAAATTGTACCATTTTGTCGATGTATTGAGAGTAAAATTTTACGCCTTTTTCATGATGGCTTCATGTTATTGATTTTTTGATGCTATGTGATGTTCACTAATACATACAAACATTTTATGATGGCTGCCGTGTAAAGCGTGTAGAATTCAATCCAATAAGAGTAATTCTACTACATCTAAAGCTTCTCATATTGTAGCTACGTTATAGAAATTCAAAATATTGTGCCTGTATTTGTGAAAGCTTCCGAAGCTTTGTGCTAAACTTTTTTAGTCTCTTTTTCTCTTTCTCTTGCCTTGTCCTTCTTCTCTGCACTCTATACTCGGTGCGATGCACTCCTTTTCATTAAATTTTGTTTTTTCGGGTGAGAACAAAAATTTGAACAGTGAGAATGTTTTTGAGTTTGGGTTCATAGATAGAATTTTTATGAAAAGAACTTGTCGGATTATGCAATAGATACCGCTTGTTGAGAAGTTGGCTGCATTGAATAAGGTTGATTGTGATAAGGAGAGAAATAGAGATGATGAAGGGGTTCATGGAAAGGGTTGATGACTTGAAGAGAGAGTTTTGATGAAAGGATAGATTTTTGAGATATTTAGAGAATGCTGAAAATTTTGTTACAAAATAAATCGATAAAATTAGGAAAAAGAATGTCTTAATTTTGTAATATTTTGAAGAATTTCAGAGAAAATTCTTATTTTCTGGAATTTAAAAATGCTGTGTTTTATTTGAAAGTAGATTTTCCTACTAATTTGATTAAAACTGATAGTTCTTAAATTTAATTGGAGTTTAATTAAATTTGACAGAATAATAATCAATAATAATATAGACATGATGAATGCTTTCATAATAACTTGAAATGCTCTTTGATCTATAATAATATGAAGCAATTCATAATCATTTTCCATCGTTTTATTTGTTTTTGTTTACAATTTATTACAAAGTTTATTATTATACTCATGCTGGATTGAAGTTTTGTATTATCAAAGATTAGAGGAATTTTATTAATTTTTTTTAAACAATTACTGAAAATTTTATTTTAATTTTTTATAAAAGTAATTTATATACTTTCATTAAGTTTTAAAAAATAAAAAAATAAATTTCAAATTTTTATAAAAGATTTTATTTTTATTTTTAAATTTAAATTTTTTCAGTTTTTTTCAAAATTTCTTGACACATTTAAAAATTATATTTTCAATAAATTATAAAAGATGTAATTTTCTTTAAAGATAATTAATACAGATGTTTAAAAAATCTTTAAAAATGTCTCGATTTTAAAAGTTCATTTTTTTGAATTTTGGTTTTGGAGTTTGAGTTAAATTTGAATTTTTGAGGCAGTTTTTAAAATTTTCTGAAGTTCTGAAAACATACCTAGTCATATGTTCGTATCTAAATAGCTCATATTTAGGCTGGCCTTCTGCTTGAGTTTTCAGAAAGTTAAACAAAATTATTTTGTTCCAATTCGTTCAGAAAATGAGTAAAATTGGTAGACATACGGGATGTTCTCCATAATATTCTGAAAAAAAAAAATCTCAAAATCTTTCTCATATTCCTTCAAATCGTTTTACCCCTTTCAAAAGGAAATCTCTACACACCTCAATAAATCAGCATGCAATGTTTACCTACCTTGACATTCATGCATACACAAAAAGAAAAGAATCACAAATCAAAAAGAAGACAACAAAAGGCTAAAGAAAAGAGAAAATAAAATCTGAAACATGCCAAAAAAGAGAAGAAAGTAAAACTTTATTAATCAAAAAGTTCCATTGCAAGATGATGGGTAGATGAAACTTAATCAAGAAGTTATAAGGGATGAATTTGTAAGATAAAGTAGCAAACATTTATTAAGAAAGTTTCTCTATTGAATAAATATGATGTACATGCTCTTTCTCTCTTATTTTAAAAATGAAACTTTGTTATTAAAAAAGTTAAGAGTTAGTTTTTGACAGTAGCAACTTATTCTCTGCGTTATGATGATGCATAATTTTCTGTTTTGTCAAAAACTTCGTCATTCATGTAGCATCTTAATGCCATATTTTGTTTCTGCTCCCACAACTCTCACATTTTTTTACGTCTATTTATCTCATGAAGGAAATTTAAAATTCAAAATACTTTTTTTTTTTCGTCATCCTCATGAAAAATGGAATGTGTGTGCTGACATAAACCAAAAGAAAAACCTTCTCGTTTTATCTTAGAATTATGCTACGCATATCTTAATTTAGTAAAGGAAAGAAAAATTCCATTTTTTTGTGAATGTATATCACTATCTAATCGAAGCAATTTCCATTTTTCAAGAACGTGTACATTTCTCATGAGGGGGATTGAAAGACATTCTATATTTTTTTTGTGTCGATTCCTTAAAACATATTTTCTGTTTTGAAATCACTGCAGTTTAGCATTCAACTCATATTCATTTCTAATAATTTAGACTTTATTCTTTCTCTTATCCTTTGAATTATTTATTCAATCCTGTTATAGGAAATGGGAATGGAAGACGAGAAAATGGAAGAAAATCGCTGAGGCTTAAATGAGAATTTTTTGTTGTTGTTGTTGATGTTTTATTCGGCATGGTCACCTTAATTAGCTGATTCATGAGTTTTGTATATCTAATGGTTATTATTGTGATTCGGACATAATGGAATATTTTATTCTACGCTATGTGGTACTAGGAGAGGGGGATTCTTTAGGTTTGATAATGTTTTGCTTGGTTTGCTAAAGATCTTCTTGTTGAGATTTTATTTTGAATCTTAGGGAGGGTCAATATGAATTATTTATGTTGCTGGCCATCATTAAATTGCTAGAAATAGTAAAAATTAGTTATTTCTTATTCTTGAGCCTTATTCTTGCAATGCTGAGAAACTATTAATGGTAATATTTTTATAAATTTATTTTGATCTCCAAAAATTATGTTTTTATGAGAATTTCTCCACTAAGGTTTTATTTAAGACTCTCTAGCGGCAGAACTTAGTCATTAGGTATTCGACAAGTCACTGTCTTAAGAGCACACAGTTATAGGTGCCCTGGTTGAGCATTGACAACCTAAACTATGATTCTTCATAGTTTGCAACTCGAGAATATGTTTTACGATTCTAAATCAATGTCTAAGTCTCCTAAAAATTACAAAATATTCAGTCTGATCTTTGTTTTTTTGTAACAATTCAGACACATGCCTGTAAACTTCTTTTGAAAAATAATGTATGTCTGAATCAGAAAATCTCAATAAATAGGTTGTTACTATTTTGTTAAAAATAATCTAAAAACTCTAATCCATAAAAAACAAAATTCCTAACAATTTTCTTAACAAAAATTCCCATCAAACTTACTCATCATCTACTTTAAAAAATTCATTATCATGACTCACATCCCATCCAATAAAACTGACCGCACCAACAACAATAATAAATTTCACAATAGCAATAAATTCGCAAATCTAGTTTAAGTGGCCATTCAGCAATTTTAATCCATTAATCTAAATCTCTTTCATCTTCAATCTCTTTCTTATTTTAGAGATAAAATAAAAACAAATTTAAATGATTATAAAAATCGCAATAAACCATAATCTCTAGATTTATCGTTCCATTCCGAAAAACACTTTAAAAAAAGTTAAATAGTTTTAAATTGCTGGTTCTTGATATGCAAAAAAAAAAACATTCAAGTCGTAAAAAGTAAAATTAAATTCACAAAAAAAGAATCACGAGTTTGGTATTTTGGAATGACATTTGTGCAAGATTTATGGGAAGTGAAAATGCATACAGGTTTTTAATTCGAATTGAATTTAAATTGCAAATTGGTTAAAATTGAAAAATCAAAGGTGAATATTTTGTAAAAATACAGATAAAATTGTTTCTATGGCAAAAATACAGATTTGTTAACAACATGTTGCAAGTTGTGGGTTTGGGGACTAAGCGGATGTGTAGATCTTTGGAATTTAAACATCCTGGGAAGGCGAGATGAAGACATTTTAATTTTAGAGCAGAATTTGTAAATATTTGAGATAGTTTTGTGGAATTATGAAAATAAAATGACCTTAAATAGGTTAGTAGTGCAGAGGACCTTTCTTTTGGTAGCGAGCTACGCAAACCTACACCGATTTCTCTGATGGTAGATTTTACTAGGTTCTAGTTTACTTATTAACCATAATTATTAGAAGCGTAACTGGTCGACTCATTTTCAAAAAAAAGAGTTTAAATCCATCCGAAATTAAGTTTTCTTACTATATGGATCTTTATGTGTTGTATCCATACAATATGTGTATAGCAACTAATATAGCTATAATTAAGTATATGGACCCTAGTATAGTCAACTTAATAATGGAATGTAAACACTAATACATCGATACAAGATTATATAAACAGGTTTTACCATTAGGGTCTATCCAAAAATAACCCTCAGTAAGAATTTTCAATACAGACCAACATTAAAAACTATAAAACTGCACCTCGTACCCTTAAAAAAC